ATAGAGGTATTTTCTATATAATTATAGATAATTAGTAAAAATAAATTTGTAATTATATCAATTTTGTGACTGTAGAGGAGGTGACTATAGAGAGGTTTGACTGTATTTGTTTCTAATTTCTCTATTTGTTATAGCTATGTTGTGCTTTTCTTTATAGTTTTCTATTGCGCTATCTTGTAGTTGTTTAAATTCTATCTGATAAGTGGGTATTTTTTTTTAAATTTTGTAAATTATTAGAAGAAATTTGTATCTAAGTATTTAAATTCCAGAGCAATTGATTTTGAAATATCATGTTAAGTTGGTATCATTTTTAGTTTGTATATAATAAATTCTACTATTTTATCTTTATCTTGCAAAGCATTTAAGATTTTTTCATAGCCCCATTCTTTTATGTTAAATAGGATATCTATATATAACGCAATTCCTTCTGTAACTTGTTCTACCTATTGTGTTTTATCTTCTTTGAATGTTTGTTGTGGTATTGTATACAGAATAGATTTTTTGAGTATACTACTATAAGATTGGGGTATTTTCTTTTCTTCACTATTGTTTGAAGTTACTTCAAGTTGATTGTTGTCTGTTTGATCTTTGTTATTTGTTTGATCTATATCTATTGAATTATCTGATTTTGATTTGTTGTGATCTATTTGTATTGTTTGCTCTTTTTCGTTCATAGTAGACTTACTTTTTGTATTTGTAGAAGTGAGTAATGAATTGTTAAAGGTTTCTGTAAGTGTATTATCTGATTGACTTGATGCTGTGTGGTTATATCTTCTTCTTTTGTGTAGGCTTTCATTAGGCTTACTGTTCTGTTCGCTATTTTCTGGTTCTGGTGAGGACATTTTTAGCACTTCTAGAGTAGATCCTCTAGAGCCATGTACAAGTGTTGTATTGCTTACTATGTTGACAGGTGTTATTGTTTTTCTTTTTTGCTGTATATTGATGATGTGTTCTTTAACTATTGGTTAATTATTGTAAGTTAAATCTTGTATTATCAGTTTTATAGACTCTTTGCCATTGTTTTGTTATTTAGCAGAAAGAGTTTCTTTTTATAATTTTAGAAAGATATATTTTATTTACAATATAAAACTTTAATTACAAGAAATAATATTTCTATAACTAAAGAGTATCTGTATCTAGAAGGGATGTCTAAGTCTTATAATTTTATTTAAATATTTTAAAATATAAAAAATAGATTATAAATAGTTATAAATCTAATACAGACTTATAATTGTAACTATCTAGTATAAGTAAAAAATTTTATATTTTTTTCATTTATTCTCTTTCTTTTCTATTTTAGTTTGTATTTTTTTTTATAATTTTTTATATTTTGGTATTTTTTTATTTCTCTATAAAAAGATATTATCAGATTATTGATATCTTATTGTAAAGCAGTAGTTAAACAAGCTTCTAGAAGATATTATTTTAAGAGAATTGCTATTTACACCATAGTTTTTTGCTATTTACACTATAGTTATATAAAGATCTCAATTTTATTATATTGTTTATAAATTTTTAAAACTTTAATCAAAAATATCTTGACAACTACTTGATCAAAATCGATAATTTTTTTTTATTTAAATTTTACAGATTAATAGAATTTAAAAAAAATTATTAATTTTGGTCAAGTAATTGCTAAAATATCTTTAATCAAAATTTATAAAAATTTTAATATATCTATATCATTTAATAACAACTATACCAATATTTATACTAAAACTTTGATCAAAGATATCTCGACAACTACATGACCAAAATCAATAAACTTTTTTTATTTAAATTTTACAGATTAGTAGAATTTAAAAAAAAAATTTATTGATTTTGATCAAGTGGTTACTGAGATATCTTCAATTAAAATTTTTAAAAATTTTCAAATATCTATATTAATATTAACTGTATTAATATTTGTACTAAAACTTTGATTAAAGCTATCTTGGCAACCACTTAATCAAAATTGATAAACTTTTTTTAATTTGAATTCTACAAATCTGTAGAATTCAAATAAAAAAATTCATTAATTTTGATCAAGTAATTGCCAAGATATCTTTGATTAAAATTTTAGTACAAATATTAGTACAGTTATTATTAAGTAATATAGATGTTTTAAAATTTTTATAAAGTTTGATCAAAAATATTTTAGCAACTATTTAACTAAAATCAATAAACTTTTTTTTTATTTAAATTTTACAGATCTGTAAAATTCAAATAAAAAAAATTATTGATTTTGGTCAAGTGGTTGCTAAGATATTTTCGATCAAATTTTAAAAGTTTATAAATAATAAGATAATAAAATCAAAAAGATTTTTATATAACTATAGTGCAAAAAGCAAAAAACTATAGTACAAATAGCAATTCTCTATTTTAATTAATTATATCTTACTAGTGCTAGCAAATTGCTTGTAAATATTTTGATAACAGTTAGTTATATATAAAGTAATTGCAGAATATAGTTATTCTCCTATATAATTATCTAATTTATCTAGTATTCTTTAGTAATTATATAGAGGGTGATTAAATAGAATTAATAAAATTATCTTTATATAATCATATAATATAAAATAATTAAAATATTGTGATTTTAAAAAGGTAAAATAATATAAATTGTAAAAATATCTATTAAATAGAATAAAATTAACTATTTTTACTTAAATTTTAACAATAGATATCTTAATAACTATTAATCCAAATCAGCTCAAATTTTTACTATAAATAATATTAATATTCTTCTATTATATATAAAATTTTAGCCTATTTAGTTTGATATTTCTTGAGTAATCACTTGTATATATAGTCAAGTTTTTTAAAAAAATTGACTATTGTATACAATTGATTATTCGAGAAATATTAGACCAAATTAGCTAAAATTTTTATATATAATAGAATAATATCTACAATATATATTATAAAAATTTAAGCTAATTTAAATTAATAGTTATCAAGATATCTATTATCAAAGTTTGAGTAAAAATAATAAATTTTTTAATAATCGATTACTATAAATTTTTTCTATTTTTATTTAAACTTTGATGATAGATAACATTATAACTAATTATTAAAATTAACTCAAATTTTTACTATAAATAGTGTTAATATTTGTCTATTATATATAAAAATTTCAGCTGATTTAGTTTAGTATTTTTTAAATAATTACTTGTATATGATTATTAATTTTTTTAAAAAATTAATAATTATATACAAGCAATTATTTAAAAAATACCAAACTACATTAGCTAAAATTTTTATATATAATAGACAAATATTGATATTATCTATAATAAAAATTTAAGTTAATTTTAATAATTAGTTATAGAGTTATCTATTGTCAAAGTTTAAATAAAAATAAAAAAATTTACAGTAATTAATTATTAAAAAATTTATTATTTTTACTCAAACTTTGATAATAGATATTTTGATAACTATTAATCCAAATCAGCTTAAATTTTTATAAGATATATTGTATATATAATTCTGTTATATATAAAAATTTTAGCTGATTTGGTTTGGTATTTCTCGAATAATCGATTGTATACAATAGTTAATTTTTTTAAAAAAATTTATTATCATATATAAGTGATTACTTGAGAAATACCAGACTAAATTGGCTAAAATTTTTATATATAATAAAAAAATATCAAAATTTAAGCCAATTTAGATTAATAGTTATCAAGATATCCATTATTAAAATTTAAATAAAAATAGTTAATTTTATTCTATTTAATAA